GCAAATGACTGGGTTTCATTGTTTTGACTGCTGTATAGTATTCTATAGAGTACATGTCCCATAATTTCTTTATCCAGTCTACTGTTGATGGGCATTTGGGTTGGTTCCAGGTCTTAGCTATTGTGAATTGAGCTGCAATAAACATTAATGTGCAGACAGCTTTTTTGTTTGCCAATTCATTTCCTTTGGTAAATTGCAAGGAGTGGGATGGCTGGGTTGAATGGTAGGGTTATATTTAGGTTTCTGAGGAATCTCCAGACTGACTTCCATAGTGGCTTAACCAGTTTGAATTCCCACTAACAGTGGGTTAGTGTCCACTTTTCCCCCATCCTTTCCAGCATCTATTGTTAGTCTTTTGACTAAACCACTCAACCTTGCTGGATCACTTCAGCCAGTGGTAGCAGGGACACAGAGTTTTAGAGATGTTTTGACCTGTCTATCTTTAGAGGGGTCAAACCGAGAGACTGGACTACACAAAATGTAAGGAGTGAAAGCCCTCCCCTGCCTCTGTTCACTTTACCTGCCCCCAGCACCATATCTTCGATTTGGGGCATCTGGTCACATGGACCCTGCTAGGTGTCCCTTACTGCCCACACTTTCTATCATTCTAGCTTGAGATGGCCTATCCGGGTCACTTCCTGTTAGGGACAGGCATGTTGACCTTCACTCGTATGTCTCAAAGTGGGTGCTACATTCCAACTTATGCTCATTGCTTAAGATAAACCCAAATTCTCCTACTTGTTAGTGTTGCTTACTGTTGTACTCTCTGTGCTCTCCTCAGACTCTCTGGACATCTGTACAATGCAGGTGGAGGATGTCAGGTTACTGGGCTAAGCCTGGAGCAGGCAGGACTCACTTCATGATTTATTCCTTTCCCTACTAGGAGTAATTGATCCTCAGGAATTTGCCCTTTCTCTACATCACCTCTCTGCTCCACAGAGAACCCAAATTAATCATCTGAAGAAGACATGGGAAGAGGTCTTAATATGGATGTTCTCTACATGGGACAACTGGGGTGCACCAGAGACCTCCCAAAAACAGCCTGAACATTTCCCTCCTATGCAATCCTGGGAACTATCAGGGACCAGGAATAGGCTGGTGAGGGCAGTCTCTGAGATGGCCTAGGATCTCATGCCAAGGATACAGCCTCACTACTTCTTGACTAGAAGGCACAGATCATTTACAAATTGAGTACTTGCAAATTGAGTACTTAATCACAAAGAAATAGAACACATTGTCCAATTGAACTCTTTATGGTCCGAATAAACGGTTCACTTAAAGTTGGGATAGGCTGAAGTGATCAACTTGAGAACTCCCCTCTGTAGTCTTATGTGGCCCTTAGGAATTAAAGCAATGCAGTTGGAAACTCATGTGAGTAGTTTGTATCCCATGCATTCTCCCATGAAAGGAATTTGAACCCACATGCTTTCCCATTCCCCTTAAATGCATCATTCTCTTCTCTTAAGAGGAACAGCTTCCAAAAATTTGTAAGTCTGTGTGAAGGGCAGTGCACTTAACAGAAATCTTATCATCAAGGTAGAGTAGAGGCTAGGAGATAAAGAAAGGGGTTTGCAGTGAAGAAGAAGGAGTGAGGCTGCAAGAAGCACTGGGCCAGATGTAAGCTTTTAAATTTTAGTAAAAATATACTTGAAAATCCTTGTAATGTACTGTCTGGGACTAGAGGAAGTGAGATGGATTTGATCATGGTTACTCAGTAGATCTTTAGAATTCATGGACACTGCTAATTATATGTAGTCATGTTAGCTGGCCTTTGAAGTGGGATTTTACAGCATTCTCAGGTCTCTGGTCTCCATGCTGATCCATCCTGCAGGCTGTTGCATAGATATAGTAGTAAAGACTTCCCTTATTCCACAAAATAACTGAGTAATTGCTTAGAAATCTTGTCCCTTGCTGTTTTTCTGTGTGTATTGTACCTCCATGAGAAGGTGGTAACCTGCCTGCATCAAGGATGGAAATGACAGAGTAAGTGCACAGGCCAGGTTGTCAGCATTGTATCCAACATTGGATACAAGGAACATTCCTGGAGGGAGATACATATGTTTGCTTTTAATAGCTCATATTGCCCTTCCACACCCACTATCCATCAAAATTATAAGATTCTTACCTGGGTCTCAGGTGTCAGTGACACAATATGATGGTAGATGAGGAGAATTATTTAAGGACTTAAGAGATTCTCAGTGGGTTGTATCTGTCCAGATCTCAAATACTTTCATGTAATGGACAAAGAAAAATATGGTCCCTTCATACCCAGGGAAGCCCCTGATTTCCCATGTCAATGGGCCAACCAGAGGTGGACCTTTGGAGTCCCCTCCCAAGTGAAAGTTGAGAGAGTCCCGTGATAAAAACCTGCTTGATGTATCTCTGAGAAGATATAGAATTTTTGGTCTGACCTCATTCCAACTGTTGTGACAGATATTTGAATGGGGCTGAGGCAGGTAGGATCAACCAGTCAGGTTGCCTGAGATACCCTGACCCTCTGCTACCACAATTTGTGTTGAAGGCAGATCCACAGAATATGTCCCTGGTCAGGTGAATTGCAGAGTATGTGGTGAAGGTAACTGGGATGTGGCTGACAGCTGGAGGGGGCTGGCTATGATTGGGGTCCTTGCCAAGTAACTATACCCCTTTTTGCTTCTCCATTTTCCAAGTAGAAAATGGAGGGATGATAAGCCTATCATAACTGTTAAATATAAAATAGCAAATACGGTGATTTGGATCTCTCCAATGCATGCCCTTCTGTCCTACTGGAGTCCTTTCCAGTAGGAGGGAGGGAGAAAGGAGGGAGCAGTAGAAAGGAGGGAGCAGAAAGGGGCCAAATTTATTGTGGCCATACTCATGTCCTCTCTTACCTAGGGAGAGGCTCTGGAGTGACAATAGATCTAACTTACTGCCAACCTTTTGCGCAGATTACTGTATAGTTCTCAACATACACCAGTGATGAGGAAAAGAAGAGAGGGAATGTTTCATGGACCATTCCTGTGATAGCAGGAATAGGAACTGCCATTGCTTGAGAAAGTTACAGTTACTGCTTACTAAGTTCTGCTTACAAGCTTTGAAGTAAATAGCTTGGATTGGAAAGAAACACTATACTTTTCTCTTTCATCCCAGTTCAACACCTTCTTTGATTTACATTCTCCTTCTGAACTTGTCATGAATCTAATATCATTTACCTCTTACTATGCCCTGTTACTGGTCTCTCTGTCCTGTGTTGAGAAATGTCCAGAATTATAGATGACAATTTGATTTAATTTCACTCTTTTTTCCCAAACGTATCTGGAACCATGACATCCTATATTCTCATTCTCCTTTAAGATTCCCTTCCTTCTTGCTGGCTAACCCCACTAGATACCCTGTCCTCAAACTGTACATCATGTACTGTAATGGGAAGGAAACTATTAGGATGATGATTGGGATATGGGAAAATAATTCACAAAAAAACACCAGACACAACCGTCTTTCTTTTTAACCAAAATGTTTGTCTCGTCAGGAAGTTTTGCAACAACATATTACTTAAGACATGGAGATTCATGGAAAATAACAGTATTATGTTTATGGTACAACAAAATAGATGAGGTAATATAGGAAAAACTGAAATCACCCATGCACAAGAGTGAGGTGTCAATGTGGAGTTCTATCCTATCTGCTGAGCAGACATTCTTTCCATAGTAAAAAAGATCAACCTGATAGGTTATGTTTAAGGCCCTGGATCCTGAAAACACATAACCTGGAACCTATTCGTAATATACGCTGGCATAATGCCAAACTCCTACTTTATCCTTAGACTTCAGGTTTTAAAATCTTTTCTGCAAGCTAATTTTAGCATCATCAATTGCTGTATCAAGGAAATTCAAACATATCAATTAGATTTTTAAAAATGGAAGTATATACAGGTATCTCTTGCACCAAGTAGAAGGAGTCTAACCATGTCATGGTATTGCAGCTCTACTGCCCTCTTTCATGACACAAAACTGAAGAAGTGGTGTAGTTCTTGATCAGATACATAGAGGTACCCATATTCTGAGAAATCTCTTCAATATACTCATCATGCTGACAAACCAAGATGGCCTCAATAAAACTTCAAACCCTTCTACTGTTCTGAGAAATCAAACAATCAAAAAGGGTGGATGCTGAATTCACCAAATTTAGGAATTGGAGCCATATCTGATCTTGGAAGCATTTTATGCTTATCTCAATGACAGCTTCAAAATATGCAACAGGAATACAAAAGTTACGAGCTGTGAGCAAGGATATCATCTGCTTGGTTCTCCTCCAGATGGGGGAAGTCAAAGCCATGAAGTTCAAAATGGGGGACCAAGAATACCAATGGTTCAGGCACTCCAGTGTAGCTGAAATTATGAAATTGCATCACACATGCTTAAAGACTTTCTCTCTTCTGATGATCCAGAGTTTATGATCCTCTTCAATACTTAAACATCATAATCTCAGTTTTCACAAAACTGGGCCTTCTTGATTTTGGGGGGCCAGTAGAGCATGATTTTGGCTGAACTGTGAGCAAGAAATGATGCCTAAGAACTCATAGCTAGCAAATACCATTGTCTCAAGCCCAATGTCTGGAAGTAAATTAGGGGTTCTAATTCCAGGCAGGCACAGAGTTTCAATTTCAGATATTTTGGATGCTGATAGGGTATTTTTCAGCTTGATGATCTCCGCAACCCTTGCACCAGGTGGTTGTTCCTTCTAAGGAGCCACAAAATGGAACTGGTTCTACCAATATCTTGCTATAGCCCTGTAAGACTCATTTTGGAACTTCAAGAGGGAAAAAAGTGTGGTTTCTTTTTTGTATTTCATAAATATGAATATTTTTATTATGTGAAGTAAATTTGACATAGAATGAAAAAATAATATGTTCAGCTTGAGATGATATTTACAAATCACCTAGTGATCAGAGGACTGGTATATGTAATATATAAAGAATTCTCCAAACTCAGTGATAAAAAATGAAATCTGAGCATTTGCAATGAAATCTTGTGCTTTCTTAAACCAGTAAGATTGTGGTAATTGTTTAAAGTATTCATGATGTACTCATATAGATGATCTCTGCATTTTCCTGATACCTCAAAATGGAGCCCAGTGGATCCCAATGCTTTCTCATTGTCCAAGGAGAATGGCTCAAGTCCGCATGTCGGTGAGCACAGAGAACATCTCTGCAGGGTTTATCACTCAAGTTCTGAGTATGTGGCAGGTACACAGAGAAGCCCAGTAGGTACCCTGATCACCAGGATTATGTTCTACAAGGGAAATAAATATGCCCAGAAGCCATCATGGTAATAATTGTGCCATGGTAGCTTAATGTCTCTTTATCCTACTTCATATCTGAGTATAGTTAGAATTTAGGAAGTGGCCAAGGAAGTAAATAGAAAATCCATTTCATAAACATAATTCTGAAACATGGAGATCTGATTAAACAAAGTCAATTCAAAGAAATTATTGTTTACATTTCTGTTTCATTCACTGTGACAAGGATTATATGAGAAAACTATGAATTAAAATACCTCTTTCTATTATCTCATTGTTATCTATCTATAATCATCATCATCATCATCAACTTCATGATCTATCTACACAACACAATGGTTCATCGCAATGACTACCAAGGTATTTTTCCAGTATGTAAGTGCCAATAACCCTTCTCCCCCATTGTACATTTCTTTCAAGGATAGATGTTGATGGAAAGCCAAGACATTCTGGAAAAAAAGAAGAAGAAGACCTAAATGAAAGATCTCTGCGAGTGAGATCCCAGTGGAAAGAACGGGGCTCCATCAAAGAAGGAGGTACCTTTCTCTGAAGGGAGGAGAGAACTTCCTCTTTGACTATGAGCCTGTTGGAATAAGATCAAAGTCAGCAAACTCAAAAGGCTTCCATAGCCTTGGCAACTCATGACTAGAGCCTAGGGAGATTACTGAGGCCTTTAACAAGAGTGTCAATTTTTTAAGTTAACAACAGGAGTCACTGTGTACTTACTTCTCATGTGGGATCTGTCCTTAGTGTGTTGTCCAATGTGAAGTAATGCTATAACTAGTACTGAAACAGTAGTTTACACTTTGTGTTTTTGTGTGGGTTGTAACTGATGAAATCTTTACTTAATATCTACTAAATCAATCTTCTGCATATAAAGATAATTGAAAATGAATCTTTATGTGAATGGAATGGGAGAGGGAGCGGGAGATAAGAGGGGTGTGAGTGGGAGGGAAATTATGGTGGGGGAAGCCATTGTAATCCATTAACTCTACTTTGGAAATTTTATATTAACTAAATAGAAAATTAAAAAAATTAAAAAATAAAATAAAAGACAGAGGAGGAGGAGCTAGTGGGAAAGAGACTTCAGATGCTGGTCAGAGGACGCAGTGATCCAGAAGAAAATGGCAAAAGCTATGAGGTGCTTTTCTTTTTCTTTAGGTGGGTGGGTGTTGTACAGGCCAAGGGCACCTCGTCCTCCACGGTGGAGAGGAAGGATGAAAAAGCACAGGAGAAACAGCAGCACACTCGGTGCCTGCCTCACGCCAGATTCTTCCCATTTTCGTTTTACTTAATCCTCAGAAAATCTTCATTTTCGGGTAGGAAGATTGGCCCAAAGTATTTCAGTGGTTTACCACCAGGCTACACATTAGGGTACCTGAGGAATTTGCTAAAACAGCTGACCTGGGTCTTACTCGAGTTTTTCTTAATTTGATCTGGAAAGATCATTGTGATCTGGATTAAGTTCTTCAGGGGATTCTAATGTAGAGAGTGGAGAACCAAAGTAAGGAATTTGCTGGGATGGAACTTAACTCAGCTCTACTGGTTCCAAAGCCCATATTCCTTCTCCTAGCACCATTGTTCTCTCAGTGTTGTCCTTAGAGTAGCAGCTTCAGAAATACTGAGGAACTTCACTAACAATAAGAGTGTAGCTTACCTACTAAGTCTTCACCTCTGGGATAGGGCCCAGCAATTGGATTTCACAAGCCTTCCAGGTGTCTCATGCTTGAGAACTACTGCCCTGAGGCCTTGCTTTTCAGTGTGATCCACAACTGTGTAGCATCAGCAGCATGATGTTAGAAATGCAAGACCTCAGGTGACACTCAGGCCTGCTGAATCGGGTTTGTTGTGGCAACACCCCAGAAAATGCATCCCATGTGGATGAAGGTTTGAGCAGCACTGCCTTAGGCCGATAAGCAAATCAACAAATTGATTTTTTTTGTTTTGTTTTAACTAGTTTACTCAGGTATCCTACCCAAATTTCTAATTAACTAGGTCTCAGGACACTCCGAGGTCCCTTTTTGAAATTTTCCCGTAAATCTGATAATAGATTAATTGTGGGATCACTCCATTCCACACTGCTGCTCACTGTAGAGGAGGGAATTTTCTGAGTGGACTCCTTTGTTCTGGGTAACTCAGAAAGTGACTTCATCACAACTATTATAGAACTCCCCAAAACAGTTTGGGGAATTGTTATAGAAGCCCCAAAACTGGGCTGCTCACCATGCACAGCAAGCCAATTACTGGCAGTGCCATGGAAGAAAGTTCATTTGCAACGAGCAGAGTAAGGAGTCAGGCAGCTGTGGCTCAATCTCGACTCTGGAGGGATTAGAGACAGTGAATCATAGTTTAAAGTAGGGGCTGAGCCATGCTTAATCAGCTTATGTGTGGACCTCTGGTTCGTCCACAGTATGTGTGGCCTCCCTTGATAGGTCAGTGATATGGAGCTGGTGTGTTTCCTTTGAAATGGCAAAGTGGGGTCTGGTCTGTGTCTGAGGGTGGACTGGGCATTTGCTCAGAACCTGTGGGTCCCTGCAAAGCTCTCAGAACAGAGGCTGGCATTCAGATGTTAGCTAGAGGGGCGATCTGTGTTTCCGTGACTCAGGGTCTTGGCTCTAGATTTACTTTTGTGTCACTCCATTAATTCAATGAGTTACTCTTTACAGAGGAGCTGCAAGGCAAGACAGAGATACTGGAGCCTGAAAAAGTCTGAATCAAGGGCGTTAAGAGCAGGGGCTTGGCTTCACCCCAAAGACATATTTCTTGTTTGCATTACAAGTGCATAGAAGTCAGCCATGTCTCCTCTTCATTCTGTGACCAAAGCTCAGGAAAGGCTTCCACTAATATGGGATAAGGCAGGTAGCTAGATTAGAGCTGGAAGCCACACCTCTCCCTCTTCATATAATACTATATTCCCACCTGTCAATCATATGATCCCCTCAGCAGGATGCACCACTCCTGACCTGGGGGCTGTGCCATGTAACCACACCCCTTTCCAAACTCCTAAGATGCTGGCATCCAGGAGGGGCCTGTTCTCACAGACATGGAGGAGCAGGGTATTGAAGTTCTCTCCTTCTCCTCTTCTGTCCCATGTCCTGTCTTCCCTCTCCCCTTTCTCCCATATCTCCTCTCTCCTCTCTAGACTCCCCACTCTCCTCTCGCTTCTCACTTTCCTATCTTTTCTCTTCCCTGCCCACTCTGTTCCTGATAGGGCCCACGTGTGTGTGTGTGTGTGTGTGTGTGTGTGTGTGTGACTTCCTCACCTTTTTAACAAACTTCATCATTTTGGAAGTTGTATTTGTGCCTGTTCTTAAAATGCCTCTCTAGATAAGAGGCAAGAGCCTGGAATAGGGATTTTTAAACCCCATTTAGCCTACAATGCAAGTAGGACTTTCTTGGTCCCTTGGTCCCATGGAAAAGGAAAAATGAAAATGGTCGGGCACATAATGACTCTTAAATCCAGGGTGACAAACTATTCCAGTTTACCCAGGACTGAGGCCCTCCTGGGAGCTAAACTTCAATGTTAAAATCAACTGGGAGAACTGAGAGAGCTGGTCACTGTACATAAAGCTTCTACTTGGAAGAGACATATTCCATTTATGCTCACATTCCATTGGCCATAAACGTCCCACATGGCCAACTTTGTCTTCAATGGGGTGAGCAGTGGGGTGAGTTCTCCAGTAGTGAGGGACTCTCATCTAAAGAGTCAATGAATTTTTGTTTGTTAACATTTTATTTTATTTATTTGAAAGGCAGAATTAGGTAGAGACAGAGAGATCTTCCATACTCTGGTTCACTCATTCTCTCCCCAAATGGATGCAAACGGGCACCCATATGGGATGCTGGCTCTGCATACAGTGGCTTTACCCCCATAATGCCAGCCCCGTGAATACTTTTAATATTCAGGAAGCAAGTGGAAAAATGCCCTCACTCCTCAGGAAGGATTAATTACATTCTCATTAGAAGAAAATAGAAAAGGAAGGACTTTCCCCAGGGCTGAGTGAAGAGCCATAAAGGGGCCAACATCATGGCTTAGCAGGCTAAGGCTCTGCCTGTGATGCCTGCATCCCATATGGGTGCCAGCTTGAGACCCTGCTAACGTGCCTGGGAAAGCATTGGAGGATTGCCCAAGTGCTTGGACCCATGCACCAACATCAGGTGACCTGGAGGAAACTCTAGGCTTCTGGCTTTGGCATGGTGCATAGCCAATGCGGCTATCTGGGTACTGAACCAGAGTTTGGAAGATTCTCTTTCTCTCCTCTTTACATAAATAAAAAATAAATTAAAACATAAAAAAACAGCCATGAAGGACAATGGCCTGAAGCTAATCAAGGAACACTCCCTACTGTCAGGATAGGGGTTCCTTGTAATGTGAGCCCAGTGCAATTTCAAGATTTCCATAGACTGGTAACTACTATGTCTCCCGTATTTCCTTCCTAAGTGGAGTGTTTATTGAGACTATCCTGTGTCTGTTCTTCCTTTATCCATTGGGTATGCCCCAAGACTATCTTTTTATGATTCAATTTTTAGAAATTTTGCAGGCAGGAATCTCTAAACAATATACTAATTAGGGACAAGCTTGAAGTGGCAAAATTACATATTAAAAAACAAGAGCATGAATCAGACAAACCAGGAGAGTGGTTACCTTTGGTCAGGGAGACACACAGAATTATAAACTATTCATGTATTACTCTTTGTGCAAGAATTAGAAAAAAACATGGCAGATGTGTTTTCCCAAGATGGATTCAACAAAATCTCCTGTCTATAAGCTCTTCTAGAAACTCCATGACTTGAACCTGTGCAAACGGAGTGGCAGCGTTGCCCAATGTAGCATGGTGCTACATGTTGCTTTGATTTCTGAGCCTTGATCAGAAATAACTTGCTCTTTGCCTTCTTGGGATGGCTTCTCTTAGATCCCAACCACCAGCCCATTTGAGGAAGCTCAAACTTGCCCATGTGGAGAGACCTCATGCAGAGACCATGTGCAGGTATCTGGCTCAGCCCAGCTGGTGTCCTGGCCAAACCATCGGATGTGTGGGTGAAGACACCTCCAGAGGGCTTCAGTCTTCAGCTGTTAAATCACCATCATCCTGATTTCAAAATAAATAACAAAAGGTATGAAACAAAAAATGAATATGCCAAAATATTAATGATTGGCCTCTGGGTAGTGAGATTTGAATCCTCTCCTGCCCCTTGTCTTTGTTCTGAACTTTTCAGGTGTTCCATAGTGAGTACAAATCACTTTCATCATCTGGTGGGGAAAAAGTTTGCATGCATCAAAGAAGAAACAATCAAATTGTACTTGGACTTAGTACCCAAGTCTTGAGTGTTAGACTTGCATCTATATCAAGGCAGTCCATTGAGGACTTGACCTGTCCTTTGTCTTTTTGTGTAGTGTTCTTTTGGGATACAGCACAGGGCAGATAAATCTTTAGTTTTTTGATACCTAAGCTCTTTCTGGTGAAGTGCTGGTCTGGAGGAAACAGGTGAAGAAGTCCTTTGTATTGGGTGATTCTAGGGGATTAGGTAGAAGAGCAAGCTTTTCTGTGAGAAGCCTTTGAACCCAAGTCCCTCTTTTGGTACAAAAGGCTGTGCAGGTATCTGAAAGGAACAGGGACCAAAAGCTGAGGCATTGCGGTACTGGGCCCCCAAGGTCACAGAGGATGTTGTGTTCCTTTTAGGGCCTCACTTGGCCTTGGTGTGGGACAGTGGCATGACAGGGAGCCTGTTGGCCTTTGTTTGTGACAGACACCTTGCTCCCTCATTTCTGGAGATCAGCCCCTGCCCTGGCACTCATCCTCTCTGGAATGACACCTGTGATTATCATGCTTTTTGTATGAGGGTATTTCAAAATGATAGATGGAAAATGATATTAAGATAACTTTATTCTGGTACAAAAATGCTGAGATCCATGCATAGTTTTGTTTTCATAATATTTATTTTCCACGAAGTTTTTGAAGATCCCTTGTATACATTGATTTCAAAATATATTTTGGAACCAAAATAAACTTACCTTTTAATTCCAATTTCCATGCACCTATTGAAGGGCCTCATATATCATCAGCTCATCAGTCAGACTTCTCAAGCCCATCCCTGCAGTAGAGCTATATGTTTTTCTTCTGTTTAAGTCCATCCAATCCCCAGTCTGCCCAGAGTGATGACAAGAAATTCAGGGCCTCTTTCCCAGTTGTGAGTTGGGACGATCAGACCATCCATAGGAATTTTGGTCAGATTTCTTGGTCAGGAAATTGAAATAGGAAGTAATCTGTAGGTGTCCTCCCAAGGACAAACAATAGGCAGTTTGGATTTCTTCCATGTCTTGGGAGGCAGGTGTGCAGGATCATGCCAGCTTGACTAGCAACAACGTGCATTTTGTTGAGAATGCTGGGTGGTTGCCATGTGGCTGTTCGGGGAGGCCAGCTGCCCCCTCCTGAATGTCCTGGCATAGGAGCATTGGTGAGGAGTTATGATCAGGCATAGCAGAGAAGGGGGCCCCAAACAGGGAACAGAAGCAGGGTGGGAGGTGGAAGAGAGGAGAGGAAATTTCCATTAGGCTTTTCGAATTTCTTGCTGTGTCCCCTGAGCACAGAGCTTGGCGGTTGTCCGAGTGCCCCATCCTGAGTGTTCATGAATTATTCACTCCAGGCAGAGAGCCCTTATCTCTCACTGGAACTGCTTCAGGAGACTGCTTTCCCATCAGCTAGAGACTGGGCAGAGGAAGGGTTGCATTAGGCTGGAATTATCTGTCCTTTGCAAGAGAAATAGCACTCTGTACTTGTGAAAGGACACTCCTCCTCCGCTGTGGGCCTCTACTGAACACTGGGTTCTTGGTAGCTGTTTTCAATGGGATTTTGTTGAGATCTGAGAGAGAAAGTCTATGGGGCAGCTACGGTGGTCTTGCCCAAGGGGGAAGCTCCTTCCTGGTGCCGGTCATTGGACCAAGAGGCCTCTGCAGAAGAAAAAGGAACTGAGAGGGGACGTAGCCTCCCCCACCCCAGATTTTCAGAAGCCGAGGGGTCTAGGGACAATCCAGAGTGGTGGAGGGGGTTCAGAATATTCTATCTCTCCAGCCCAATTTCCAGGATCCAGAGCAAGTGAAACACCTCTTTTGTACCCACTTAGTCCATGTGCCTTCCTACAGGTAAAGGACTCCAAACATTAGAACTCATTCAAGGTCTAGTCCACTCTGGACTGTGCTCCAGGTATCAGGACTCCAGAATTTCTGCCTAAAGTCAGCAAATCCTCTTCCAGAGCCTGCAAGTGCATCTTCTCTGGGTCTCTGTTCCCAAAGGTGGACTTCATGATCCGTATTCACATACCAGGTCCAGGAGTGACTGAGGGTGGCTGTTTCCAGGGTCCTGGGGAATGCGGGTGTGTTTGGAACGTGGCCAATCCACATGCACCCATGGGAGACTCGGTTTAATCTGAGAGGATGGGGGTGGGCCAAGGGCCAGAAGTAGATCTCCAAAGAGTCTCAACATCCAAAACCTCCACCAGACCTTTTGGGTGGTTATGAAGCTGTGTACAACAAGGTAGAAGAGTGGAACGTACTTTGTTTAGCATTAACAGTTGAGGGCAGTGGCCAGGCAGCCCGGAGTCGTGAAGGCTCTTGGCACACTGTGGGCCACAGGCACCTGGCCTGTGCCCTCCCTGTGGCCAAGATCCTGAAAGGGGAGGTGAAGGAAGGGCCCACGAGGAGATCAACGAGGTTGTCTGCTCAATCTGCTCCTGCAAAAGCTGAAACAAAGCCCCAAAAGCAGCCGGGAAGGATGTTGGGCAAAAAAGTGCAAACAAAAGGGAAGAGAAGAGCCAAGGGAAAAGGGGCCCAGGTGGCTAACCAAGGAACTAAAGATTGGTCTGCAGAAAACTGAAAGGAGGGAGTCCAGCCTCTGATGAAGTCAGAGAGAAAGAAGCCAAGTCTGGTTTAATATCACACCCATGTCCATCAATGGTCCCTGTCCTCCTTCTTTTAAAATCCAGACGGTTTTTTTTTTTTTACCATTATAGAGATTATTTATTTGAAAGGCAAAATGAGAGAGAGAGGAAGAGAGAGAGAGGGAGAGAATATTTCATTTGTTTGTTCATTCTCCAAAAGGTTACAATGGCCAGGGGTTGGCCTGTCTTAACCCAGGAACCAGGAGCCTCTGGGTCTCCCACATGGGTTGGCAGGGGCCCAAGTACTTGGGCCATGTGCTGCTCTCCCAGTTGCATTGGCAAGGAGTTGAGTGGGAAGTGGAGTGAGCTTGTACTGAAACCAGTGCCCATATGGGATGCCAGTATCACAGGTGATGGCATTACCTGCTACATCTCAAACACCAGCCCCAGAGGAATGTTTTATCAACTATTTTGTAAAAGCAAACTTTTTAGTAGTTCTAGAAACACTTTTAAGAAGCAGGAAAGCCCACCCCATTCTATTTTTAAGTTTAAATTTTTAAAAGTAATTGAAATCATTTGCTGTTTTTTTTTTTTTTTTTGCTACTATTATGGGAGGCTTTGACTATCTTGGGTGTCAGCTTAATATTCCATATGTGTGGGGGATAGTTGTTATATCCTATAATACAACAAATACTAAATGGAAATTTGGAGTCAAAGTTGTGCATTTAATCTGTCTTAGATATTTTCAGTTACTTTGACTCCCATGTTTAGTAGAATTGTTTCCTACAGAAAACCACTGCTGGTTGCCTTGTCAGACTGTGTGCACTCTGTAACATCTTTGGTTGTGGCTGTCTAGTTTTTCTAATAATTTTGTTAATGTGCTGTGAAATATTAAAAATTTGAGTATGTTGTGTACATGATATTACATTGTGAATTGGGATTTCTGTAAGGTGTATCAACATTTGAAGATACTAGGAATTGATACAGTCTTAAAGAAGAGTTGCCTCCAAATTTGAAGCTGCAAAGTCACTGGGATAACTTTAAAAAATGACAATTCATGGCCTTTTTGATTTTTGGTACTGGGTTAAGAATTGTGTGTAGAGTGAAATGTCTGTACTGGGCCTTCAACGTCGATAAAATCTCAATGATGGGCAACAATTAGCAGTTTATTACCTTGATTTAGTAACTTAAAAATACTTATATATAGACTACATGAGCCTCCATTTGTACTTTTGCCCAGAGTGGGACAAATATTGTTGGACCTAAAATGTAGAAGTGGGGACCTAGTCCTAGTCCTGGGGTCCTTGATGAACAGAGGGCTGTGGAATGCAGGGAACAGGGGCTGATGAATTACAATTTTACTTCATGGTGCCCTCTGAGTCTCTTTTTGTTCTGTTCTGTTTTGTTTTGTCACTCCTCAGCCTGTAGCAGAGTTTAGCTGGAGAGCACCGGCTAGTTTCCCAGCCTGGTGGCACGGCAAGAGGGTCCACCGTTGAAAATGAAGCAGTGCCACCCTGAGGTCACTTCTGGGAATGGCATCAAGAATCAGGAAACGGCTCTGAGCCTGAGGCACAAGGTGGGTGTGCTTCCTGACGCAGAGCTCTGGCTGCAGTACAGCTGCTATTTTGTTATTTTCTTACCCAAACTGGCATGTTCCTCACAGAGGGTCCCTAAGGCCAGATCAGTGTTGGACTCCGAGTTCCCAAAGAGCTCATCCCCAAATTTCCAATAGTCCCGGTGTTATTCCTTTCCCTGCCCACACCACACCATGCACCCGAGTTCCTGAGAGGTGAGGAAGGGAAATTCTCACCTGTGAGAAGCTTAGAAGACCTAACCTGGGTGCAGCCTTTGGAGCAGAAGTTAATCGTTTGCAGAGAAGCTCGCGTAGGCATTTTCTCCTTTTCACTTAACATTATTCTAAATTGTTTCACTTATAGATTAAACTGGTTTAATAGTGTGGAAAAAGTTTAATTACTGTTTGTTTATTCTGTTTCCTGGCATTGTCTGAATTTCAACCGTGGCAGACTGTCATCCTATTTTACAGATGAGGAACTGAGGCCCAGGGAGGTGAATGGCTTGCTCAAGCTCACTCAGTAATAAGCAGCATTGCTGGGCCTGTCAGATCACTCTCATTGCTCTGTTATGTCTAGTTATGTTGGAAAGAATTAAGCATTCAAGTTCCTGCCACAATACTGCACTAGGACATGACATTCTTTTTTCTGTTACTTCTTTTTTTAAATATTTATTTACTTGAAAACCAGAGCGAGGGAGGGAGGGAGGGAGGGAGGGAGAGAGAGAGAGAGAGAGAGAGAGAGAGAGAGAGAGAGAGAGAGAGATCTCCTGTCTGTAGGTTCACTTGCAAGATGGATGAAATAGCAGGACTTCATCTAGGTCTCCCACGTGGGTGGCTGGGGTCCAAGCACTTGGGCCACTTTCTGTTGCTTTCCCCAGGCCACTTGCAGGGAACTGGATTGGAAGTGGAGCAGCCAGGACTCAAACTGGCACTCACATGGGATGCTAGTGTCACAGGCAGCGGCTTTATTGGATATGGCACAATACCAGCTCCTCTGTTAATCTTTTAAGATTTATTTATCTATTTATTTATTTGAAAATCAGAGTTACAGAGAGGCAGAGGAAGAGAGAGAGAGAGAGAGAGAGATTTTCCATCTGATGCTTCACTCCCCAGATGGCTGAAATAGCCAGGGCTAGGCCAGGCTGAAGCCAGGAGGCAGGACTTCATCTAAGTCTCCCACGTGGGTGGCTGGGGCCCAAACACTTGGGCCACCTTCTGTTGCTTTCCCCAGGCCACTTGCAGGGAACTGGATGGAAGTGGAGCAACCAGGACTCAAACACATTCATGTGGGATGCCATTGTCACAGGCAGCAGCTTTATTGGCTATGACACAATGCCATGTCCTCTGTTAATATTTTTTAAGATTTATTTACTTATTTATTTGAAAAGCAGAGTTACAGAGAGGCAGAGAGAGAGAGAGAAAGAGGTCTTCCATCTGATAGTTCACTCCCCAGATGGCTGCAACGTTTGGAGCTAGGCTGATGTGAAGCCAGGAATTTCTTCCAGGTCTGCGACATGTGTGCAGGTGCCCAAGGACATGGGCCATCTTCTACTGCTTTCCCAGGCCATTGCAAAGGCTGGATCAGAAGTGGAGCAGCTGGTATTCAAACTGGCACCCATATGGGATGTCAGCACTGCAGGTGGTGGCTTTACCCACTAAGCAACAGCGCTGGTCCCCAAACCCAACATGGCTTCTGCCCTTTTTCAGCTGGCCAGTGGGCACTTTTGTGGGAAGTAGGAGTGAGACAAATGTGTACCCTCTACTTCCACTGGGGCCACAGGAAACTGTTGGAATTGCTAGCCCCCAGGGCACTAGTCCAGACTCACACCACATACTCTCTCTAGCTATACCACCATGAGTTGCTGCAGGCTGGTTTCACCAACTCTGTTTCCAAGCTGCCACCTGCTCCAGCTCTCAGCCATTGCAGTCATGTGTTGTGCCCATGTTCATGCTGTATGTCTGCACCCTCCATGCAGGTCCATGGCATTCCTCTTCTTCTTTTAGGATTTCCAGTGAAGTTTTCTCTCCAGTTCTGCCCTGAGAGTACACTTCCTACACTGATTTCTTTCACTGTTTATTCCTAGTCTGGAGCATCATGTTGTTTCCTAATCTGCCATCTTGGAATCTCTCTCCTTCACTGATTTGTGAATGTTGAACCATCCTTGCATACCAGGGATAAATTCCACTTGGTCTGGGTGAAAGATCTTTCCGATATGTTGTTGGATTAGATTACCTAGTATTTTGCTGGGATTTTTACATCTATGTTCTTCAGAGATATTGGTCTATAGTTCACTTTCTCTATTGTATCTTGTTCTGGTTTAGGATTTAAGGTGACGCTGGCTTCATGGAAGGAGTTTGGGAGGATTCCCTACCTTCCAATTTTGTCAAATAGTTTGAGTAGAATTGGAATTAGATCTTTGAATGTTTGGTAGAATTCAGCAGTGAAGCCATTTGTTCCTGGGCGTTTCTTTGTTGGGAGGGTCTTTATTACTGATTCAATTTCCATCTTGGTATTGGTCTGTTTACATTTTCTATGTCTTCATTGCTCAAATTTGGTTGGTTGTATGTGTCCAAGAATCTATCCAATTCTAGCTTTCCAATTTGTGGGGCATATAGCTCATTATTGTAATTCTTTTTTTTTTATTTTTTGGACAGGCAGAGTGGACAGTGAGAGAGAGAGACAGAGAGAAAGGTCTTCCTTTCCCGTTGGTTCACCCTCCAATGGCCGCCATGGCTGGCGCGCTGCGGCCGGCGCACCGCGCTGATCCGATGGCAGGAGCCAGGTACTTATCCTGGTCTCCCATGAGGTGCAGGGCCCAAGCACTTGGGCCATCCTCCACTGCACTCCCTGGCCACAGCAGAGAGCTGGCCTGGAAGAGGGGCAACCGGGACAGAGTCTGGCGCCCCAACCGGGACTAGAACCTGGAGTGCCGGCGCCGCAGGCAGAGGATTAGCCTATTGAGCCGCGGGGCCAGCCAAATGTCCTTCTTAACACTGCTTTTTGTTGTCTCACGTTTTGATATGATGTATTGTCATTTTCAGAAAATTTTTGATTTCTCTTGATTGCTTCTATGACCCACTGTTCATTCAGTAATATGTTATTCAGTCTCTTTATGTTTGCATACTTTCTCAAAACTCTTTTATTTAAACATTTTTTAAAAATTTATTTAACAGAGTTAGAGAGACAGAGAGAAAGGTCTTCCTTCTGTTGGTTCACCCCCCAAATAGCCGTTATGGTTGGAGCTGTGCCAATCCAAAGCCAGGAGCCAGGTGCTTCCTCCTGGTCTCCCAAGCAGATGAAGGAGCCCAAGCCATTGACATTTCTTTTAAATAGCCAAGTGCCCTTAATTGGGTGCATATACATTTATGATAGTCACATCTTCCTATTGAACTGATCCTTTAATCATCACATAGTGCATTTCTTGTCTCTTTTAAATTTTTTTTGTGTTAAAGCCTTTTTTGGTCTGATTTTAGGTTGGCTATACATGTTCATTTTTGCTTTCCATTTGCATGAAATACTCTTTTCTTTCCTTTCACTTCCAGGCTTCATATTTCTTTGTTGGTGAGGTGTGTTTCTTGTAGGCAGAAATAGATGAGTCTTATTGTTTTTTTAAAACACATTCAGCCAGTTTGTATCATTTAATTGGAGAATTTAGGCCATTTACATTCAAGGTGACTATTGATAAGTAATGACTTGGCCCTGCCATTTTCCCAAAAATATTTCTATTGTTGGCTTCGGATTTCCTTTGTACTTTTACTAGGAGATTTTCTGCCTTCCCGTTCTTTCATCGTGATGACTACATTTCTGTGTTTCTGTGTGTAGCACATCCTTAAGCATCTTTTTTAGGCTGGATGAATGGTGACAAATTCTTTCAATTTCTATTTGTTGTGGAAGGTCTTTATTTTGCCTTCATTCATTATTGAGAGCTTTGCAGAGTACAGAGTTCTGGGTTGACACTTTTTGTCTCTTAAGACTTAGACTATATCTTGCCACTCTCTCCTAGTCTGTAGGATTTCTGATGAGAAGTCAGCTGTGAGTCTCATTGGAGATCTCTGAAAGCAATCTGACATTTCTTTTGTGCACATTTTAGAATCTTTTCTTTAGGTTTTGCTGTGGAAAGTTTGACTACAATGTACCATGATGAAGAAGTATTCTGGTCATATCTATTAGTTCTGTGTGCTTCCTGTATTGGTCTTCTTTTTTTCCCTCCAATTAGAGAAGTTTTCTGTTATTTTTCCCCACCAGGTTGTCCTTCATTAAGCCATCTTATTTTATTTAATTTTTTAATTTATATAATTGAACAAATTGTACGTATTTCATACATACAATTTTGTTTTTTTTTATTTTTTTATTTTTATTTTTTTTTTGACAGGCAGAGTGGACAGTGAGAGAGAGAGACAGAGAGAAAGGTCTTCCTTTGCCGTTGGTTCACCCTCCAATGGCCGCCGTGGCCAGCGCGCTGTGGCCGGCGCACCGCGCTGATCCGATAGCAGGAGCCAGGAGCCAGGTGCTTTTTCCTGGTCTCCCATGGGGTGCAGGGCCCAAGCACCTGGGCCATCCTCCACTGCACTCCCTGGCCACAGCAGAGAGCTGGCCTGGAAGAGGGGCAACCGGGACAGAATCTGGCGCCCCAACCGGGACTAGAACCCGGTGTGCCGGCGCCGCTAGGTGGAGGATTAGCCTAGTGAGCTGTGGCGCCGGCCCCATACATACAATTTTAAGAACATAATGACACATCTCACCACATCCTGCCTTCCTCCCTTCATCCCTCCCTCTTTCCCACCCTTCTTCCTTTCTTATTTTTCTTTATTTTTTGTGATAATACACTTTTTGTTTTGAAAACAAGTTTTTTAATTTTTTTTTAACTTTTATTTAATGAATATAAATTTCCGAAGTACAGCTTATGGAGTACAATGGCTTCCCCCTCATAACTTCCCTCCCAACAGCAACCCTCCCCTTTCCCGCTCCCTCTCCCCTTCCATTGACATCAAGATTCATTTTC